CAAGGTCTACCCACCTGCCAAAGATTATTCATTCTGTAACTATTTCTGCAGATACAGAGCAGAGAATGTTGTGGTCCCTGAACTCAAAGACAGCACAGCACTGCCAGGGAGTGAGGAGGCTGGGCTGGATGACCCCCCGTTCCCAGGGGCTGGTGGCCTTGGTGGATTTCAGGGTGCCCAGGTTATATACTGATTCGTTATTGCACGTCCTAGAGGGATGGGCAATATCTGGGACTTCTCAGGCAACCCAGTGCTTGCTTGGAGGTGGGTGGTGTCTCATATTCTCACTGTATCTGGGGCTGTGTATCAGGCCACCGATGTCTCATACAGAAGCAGGGCTAAGGAATCCTCTCCGTACATGCCTCTCCCCTGTTGAGAACTTCTGTGGTTTCCCTGCTCAGTATCCATCCCCATCCCCCTTCATGTAATAGTACCGCAATTTTCACCCGAGGAACTACTCCTCTTGTCATTTTCAGCTCAGGTACTTCAAGTGGAGGTGGTCTCTGGCTGGAGAGTCCCGTGGGGGGCAGAGCTGTACAGCACAAGCACATTAAGCACTGTGCAGAGTTGCATAATGGTTGGTTTAGGGACGGGCATGTGACCCAGGCCAAGTCATCAGATCTGGTCAGAGCCAATGCCAGGTATTTGAGTGGCTCAGAAAAAGATGTCCTTTCACCTGGACTTGGAGATGTGAGAGTGTCAGCTTGAAGCTGCTGGGTTCTCAGAAGACCTAGAATCTGAGGTCAGCAAGCAGATCTGTGGGGACACGGGCAGAGAGGGAGGTGGCCTAATGGGAGACTGTGCCCAGGAAGCAGCTGAGTCTGAAGGGCGCACAGAAGGCCTCTGAGGGCTCGTCCCAGCCTCGTGCGAGCAAACGGAGCAGCCCACTGTGGGCCCAGAGCTGGGGCTCCTGGAGGTCCCCACGGAGATCCGCTCCCCACAAACCTTCCAAGAACCGTGCTGCTCAGTTAACAACCCCCCCACCTACCACCACCCTGGCTTTCTGGAAGAAAGAGGAGAGTGCATCTTATTGTAGGGCTAGGTAGGGCAGGGAAGGGGCAGAGGGGCCAAGTTAAAGCCCATCGTGGACTTGGCATTGGGTCCCAATTTCACTGGAGTCTTTTTACATTGTTCAAGCTCTCCTAGGTTATTAACTGCCTGCAGGCTCAGCTCAACAGCGTGTAGGCCCTGGCCTGGTGCCTTGGAGATTTCTAGCCACGTTCACCCGAGGAGCAGGTGTCAAGGGCCTAACAGCCTCACTGCGCCTTCCCTCAGGGAGGGGAGCCTCCCACCTCAAATGTCTGGATGAAAGGAAAGGAGGGGACCATCAGACCATTCCAAAGTTAGGTGGCCCTAAGAGTGCCTTGCACACAGTAAGTGATTTTTTGACCTGTGTTGACAAGCTGGATAGCATAGAGTTTCCAGTCCTGGGAGCAGGATCTGCATCTGCCTTAAAGCCAGATAAGGACCCACTCTGTGGGATGCAAAAGCCTCAGGGCCCCGAGGGAGCAGGACCTGCCCTGGGCCACACAAAAGTCCCGAAGTGGCTGATTGGAGAGGACAATGTCAGCTTGGAAGACTAGGCACTGAAGTCCAAGAAAAGTAGAGCCTGCCTACCTTCACCCCGGGGTACAGATAGGCAAACTGAGTCTTAAAAAAAAATTGGTCCTGGCTGGTGTGGCTCGGTGGATTGAGCACAGGCCTGTGACTCAAAGGGTCACCAGTTCGATTCCCAGTCAGGGCACATGCCTGGGTTGCAGGCCAGGTCCCCAGCGGGGGTGGGGGATAGGGCAAAAGGCAACACCACAAACAGATGTTTCTCTCCCTCTCTTTCTCCCTTCCCCTCTCTCTAAAAATAAATAAATAAAATACATTTTTTTTAAAAAGGATAATTAAAAAAAACTGGTGCCTTGTGCCCCCCTCAGAGCTCATCTGCTGTCATGCCCATCCTTTCATTTCTCCCTCAGTTTCCAGCTCTGAAAAGCATCACAGCCACACCTGGCCCAGGTCAGGCACCCCGCAGTCTGCCGGCCTCTAGAACGGGGGCCGGCAGACTTTGTGAAGGGTCAGAGAGTGAGTGTCCTAGACTCCGTGGTCCACAGGCCCATACAGCTCTCTGCTGCAGCTCCTCAACTCTGCCTCCTAAAGAGAAAGCTGCCAGAGACGATATGTAAATGAGTGGGCGTGGTCGAGGTCCTTTGTTTACGATCACTAAAATTTGAATTTCATATAATTTCCACATGTCATGAAATATGACTCTTCTTTAATTTTGTTTGCAACCATTAGAAAATGTAAGAAACTATTCTTAGCTCAAAGGCTGTACAAACACAGGCAGAGGGCCAGATTGGGTCCTCAGGCCACAGTTTGCCAACGTCCTGTTCTAGAATGTGCTGTCTGGGGACCCGGACTTCCAGAGCCACTGAGGCAGTAAGTCCTGTCACACAAAAATAAGAGTGGTAATAGAGTGATGAACCACTGTGGTTTCCCAGGACCGAGGGGTTTCCTGGGATGTGGGATTTTTGGCGCTATAACCAGGACAGCCCCAGGCAAACCAGGACACTTGGTCACCCTACGGGGAAATCATTAACCCAAGGAGACAGGCTTCAGGGGTGGGTTCGAGCATGGCCCCCAGGGACCTGCCCCATGCGCTTGTGGTTTGTGGCAGGGCCTGCCCCGCTGGGCCTGGCCCTCAGCAGGGACATGCCCCCTCCTCCCAGCGAGAAAACCTCTGTGGTCTGGGTGCTCTTAAAAGGCAGGAAGTTGAATCATCAGCTCCGGTAACGTCTCCGTCAGCCCATGGGTCTGTCCCCAGGAGCTGGCTCTATACTGTTTGCTGCTTTCTCTGGCCAGAAAAGCTCCAGAGGGAGGCTTCTAGAGGAAGGAGAGCCATTGAGACAGGTGGGGAGGAGAGAGTCATGGCTGGGCCACCCCCCGCTCTCCCCCAGCTCTGTCCTGAGCTCGCTGTGCGGCCTCCTGTGACTCCCTCACCCCCTCTGTTTCTTGGCTTTGGCTTCTGCCACAGAAATGCTGATTCTTGCAATCCCCTTGAATGAAGAGTATGCATGGTGACCAAAGTGAGAGCATCCTGGGTCCCTGCAGGATTGTGTTGGCTTTACGACCATGGATGCAGGGTGCTCAGACACACGTCCCTGTCTCCCACTCTCCAGGGAGCAGAACCTGACCAGGCACCCAGGTTCAGGCTGCAGAGGCTCCAGAAGGCCAGCGAGTCTGGATTCCGAGGGCTGGAGGAGAGGGGCAGCAGGGAGAAGCCAGTTAAAGAGGGATGCTCATAACGGTGAGAATCAGGCCATCTGTTGTTTATCCAGCACTCAGTATGTGCCAGCCTTTGGATGACCTCAGCTGATCCTCACAAGGACCCTTGAAGATAAGAACCGTTACTTCTATTGTATAAGTAAGGCAAGTAAAACCCAGAGAGGTTAAGGACCTTGCCAATGCTCACACAGCTACCAAATAGTGGGGCAGGCATTAACCATTTGTTAGACTGTGGCTTTGAGGCCTGGGGGGCTGTGGCTTACAGGTGGCACAGGGGAGGGATGAGCTTCCCAGAGAAGTCAAGGACAGGGTGGGGGGAAAGTGTTCTTCCCTCCTGGTGCTGCACGGGGACCTCTGGAAAACCCTTCGAGGTCTAGGGTTTGCTGGGCTTGGGGACCGGGCCCCTGACAAAGCAGATCACACCTCACACGCTCTCCAGGTTGTCTCTGAGGGCCTAGTAAAGACACCGAACACGCAGCAGGATTTTGCTGCAGAGCAGGAGCTGAGCATTTACTTTTTGGTTCTCAGGCCAGCACTCAGTCCACTGAGCCACACCAGCCAGGGCAGCATTTACTTTCTGAGCAAAGGTAAGCCAGCCCGGCTCCAAAGGTGCCCCCGGGTGTCTCTGTGCTCCCTCCTGGCCCAGCATCGGTGCCACGCTCGGGTGAGACCGTGGGCCACAAGGCCCATGCCATGTCCTGTAAGGGAGGGGACAATGAGAGCTCTGTAGGCTTAACCACACTTAGCAGAGGACCAAGCCCACGAGGGGCCTGTGGAGTCACTAATAGGGTGTGCTCCCTGCAGTGGAGGCAGCCCCCGACTTAGCTGTCCTCAGTAACCAAGCAGGGAAACCACTCTGGGGAAAGAGGCCAACCCAGCTACCCAGGCCACTGCCCCCTTGTGAGCAGCAAGTTCAAAGCCAGACTTAGGCAAACTCCTCAGCATTTCTTACCTTCTCTGGAGCATCATGAAATTCTGCACGAAGCCCTCAAGCTAAGAAGGGCTTTGTTCATGTCTGCTCTGTGGCTGAGGACCGGTAGGTAAGAATGGGGGTTTTAGAGGCTTCATTAGCCTGAAGACCTACTAGGGGCCAGGCCTAGACTGAAGCCTTGAGCTAGAGGTAGGGGGCCTGGTATCTGGGTGCAGTGGCTGAGGCCACCCTCCTGGCCCCCACCTGGGCCTGCACTGGACCCCCAGGCCTCAGGAGCCAAACCTTCCTTGCAGACACTTAGATTCCATTACCTGGCTATTTTGGGCAGACCCGAGCTAAACTTGATTATGACAAATCTGAAATAGTTCCTTATTAGATGTAGCTGGCTCTCCCTTCCAAATGAACTTTCTGGGGACCCTTGGGGTTTTGTGGTGAGCACATCCCGCATCCTACTGTCCAGTTCCTCTGGCAGGAAATCAAGAGCGGTCTAGGAGCCCAGCCTCACTCGGGCCTGTGCACAGGGTGTGAGCTCCACGGGCACCTGTGGGGCTGAGGGGCACCATGCCTCTGGCCAGGTGTGGGCTCTGCCTCTTCCCTGCCTGCAGCGCCTTCCCACTCAAGAAAAGGCTGAACAGGACTGGCGGGTTGAGGACACTGTGGGACTGTGTACAGCGAATGACAGTTCTGGGCCTCTCCCTACTCCCCGTGAGTATCAGCCTGGGGGCAGGGCCTGGGAGGCCCCAGTCTTCCTCTGGTCCAAAGTCCACTAACAGCCCAGTGGCTGGGAACATGTGGAGGGGACGCTCTTCAGCCAGGGAGGTGTAGGACAAAGGAGGGTGAGTGGGAGAGAAGGAAGAGGCTGAGCTTCGTGTAGACCCTGGGGCCTGAGTGCATCTCTGTCTGGGTGGGGCGGGGCCCCCCAGCTTCCCCTACCACACAGCCTGTGCCTCTGGAGGAGGCTCTGCAGGACAGCCTGCCCCTTCAACCCCTCCTGCTCCTGGGGGGCCAATTTCCAATAGGACTTGACTGAGATGGCACCAGGCTGCCAAACTCTGGAGACAAACCCGGCCCGGCTATGCCTGGCGGTGTCTCTGCTCTGGAGCGTTTGCCCTTATCAGGGGTGAATGCTGGCGGACTTGCCAGTGGTGGAATTTCTGACCCAGGGCAGGTGGGTGAGGGGGTCATGTGGGTCAGGGGTCCCTTTGCAAGGCCCTCAAATTGCTCCAGGTGGGCAGGGCTCCACTGTAGCCCCGGTCACTGGTGGGGCCAAGTGGGCTCAAGGGGCCCCCAAGTGGTGGGAGCTCCTGGGACATAGAGTGTGGCCAGAGCAAGGAAGACCACCCAGCAGTCAGGGCGGTTGGTGGGGGAGGGCTCTGCCTTGGAGGTGCAAGCACGTGCCTCTCTTGGGGACACCCAGGCTGCATGAGAAGGCTGGACAGGGTGGCGAGAAGGGAACGGGCACATAGGTGAGGGGCTGGACTCCAGGCCTCCCTGATCCTGTGCTTGGCATAGAACAGGGAGGAGGCTGACACGGGACAGGTAAAGAGATACCCCAACCCCCATGCTGGGCACCGTGCTGCAGACTCAGTGAGCCCTCAGGCTGCAAGTGTCTTGGAAACCAGGGGAAGGCGCCAGCACTTCTGGTCAGTGTCTGAGAGTGCGTGTTCGAGAGGTGGGCCCGCTGACTGAGAGAGAAAAGGTGTCAAGACAAGGGGAGTGTGGGAGCAGGAGTCTAGGGGCACCACGCCAGGCAGGCGGGAAGACCGGTGAGCCCCCAGAACCGTGTGCAAAGGTGGCGAGGGAGGAGGTGGCCAACATGGAGAGCTCTGGCCCTGAGCTTCAGGCCCTTCCAGGCCTTTGCCAACTGTTACGGGTTGAACTGTGTCCCTGCAAAAGATATATCTTAGTCCTCATCCCCCTTATTTAAATGTGACCTTTTTTGGAAATAGGGTCTTTGCGGGTTTAATTGAGCTGAGATGAGGTCGTTAGGGCGGGCCCTAATCCAGTAGGATGGATGTCCTTGTAAGGCAGGGGTGTCAAACTCATTTTCACCAGGGACCACATCAGCCTCGAAGTTGCCTTCAAAGGGCAGAATGTAATTTCAGACTGTATAAATGCAACTACTCCTTAACTAGGGGCAAGGAGCTCCACATTTGGCCTTTTGAAGGCCACCGAGAGGCTGATGTGGCCCCCGGTGAAAATGAGTTTGACGCCCCTGCTGCAAGGAGGAGGAAATCTCGACCAGCACAGATGCCCAGGGCGAAGGCCACGTGAGGGCGGAGGCAGAGGCTGGAGGGAGGCTGAGTGCCTGGCATCACCTGAAGCTGGGAGAGGCCGGAAAGGCTCGTTCTGCAGAGGCTTTGGGGGAACGTGGCCCTGCCGACACCCTGACTTCTAACTTCCAGCCTCTGCTGCTGTGAGAGAACGCATTTCTGTTGTTTGAAGCTACCCAGGTTGCAGTGCCCCCTTCGTTGTGGGAGCCCTGGGAGACTGCCATGCCAGGTTGGTTCTTTAAAAATATATATATATTTTATTTCCTTATTTTTAGAGAGAGGGAAGGGAGGGAGAAAGGGAGAGAAACATTGGCTGCCTGTCACAAACCCGTAACTGGGGACCTGGCCTGGAATGCTGGCATGTGCCCTGACTGGGAATCAAACCGGTGACATTTTGGTTCACAGGCCAGTGCTCAATCCACTGAGCCACACCAGCCAGGGCCCTACCAGGCTGGTTCTGCTGCCTGGAATGCCCTTCCACGCTGCCCCTTCCAGCTAGGCCTCTCGCCACCTTCCAGGTCCATCACCTGCTCCATGCAGGCAGAGTTGAGTGTGACTTCTCTGTATAACCCCATGCAGAAGCCCCCTTGTCCAGCAGACCCATAAGGCTTGTTGGCCAGCCTGCATCCCCCACTAGATGGTAAGCTCCCCAGGGCAGGGCCTGACTGTAGCAGAGCAGCACGGACCTGGTGCTCAATGGGTGCTCAGTCAGTGTGGGGTGAATGGAGGCATAGTCGAGGGGTGCCAAGCCCCTCTTGGACTGGGATGAGCCTTCTACAGCCTGGCCTATCTTGGGTGGGCACTGGACCCACCAAAGAGAGGTACCAGCATCATCCACACAGGCCACCCCTGCTTCTCCACTCCCCTGTCCCCTCCCGGCCCTGTGTGAGGCTGAATGACTTGGGGAAATTCCTAACCTCCCTTTTCAGGGGGCCATTGGACCTATGAATTTGCCACAACATAACTGCGCAGGTCCCTCCAACAAGGGGACTGTGTCTGTGGCTCGATGACTCATGCACACTGCTCCATCCCGCAGCCTTGGGCGGGACCCAGGGCTGGGGACAGTGCCAGCCGGCGCAGGCTAGGAGCTTGGACATCCCTTTGCCCCAACCCAGTCCCCAGGAACACAGTGTACTCACGGCTTCGGGACAAAAATCTGGAAGCAGGGAGGCCACTCTCATTTAAACTGAGATCTGAGTGATGAAGGGAGCGGACAGAAGGAACGGTTCAAAGGCCCTGAGGTAGGAATGAGCTCGGTATGATCCAGAAGGGAAAAGAAGGCAGGGGAGGCGGGAGCAGGACGAAATCGAGGCCAGCGATAGGACATGAGGTTAGATGGGGCCCACTGGGTAACCGGGACGGTCCCTCCATCTCACCATCCTTGAATTAACCATACCTGCAAAGCCGCTCTGCTGTGTGTAAGTTTAACACATCCCTCATTCTGTGCACACAGCACAAGTATCTTGAGGGAGGGGATGGTACTCTGCCTGCTAGCGTCTCTCCCACCGTCTCATCTCTCTCTCTCACAGTTGGTGCGTTTCTGTTTTCCTATCTACCTGCTTATGTGGATCTGCTGACCTTTTCCTCTGGCCACAGTTTCTCTCTCTTCCTACCTCTTCCTCAAGTATGAACAAGTTATTGATCCATCCACCATTCTTCCTGGCTTTAATCTTTCAGTCTGATCATTACATCGCCCTTCGGTCTGCTCATAAACTGACTTGGAAATGCAGCCTGTCATTCAGTTGTCCCCTGTCTGTGACAAATTATTGGTCATCTGGCTCCACATCTGTACGCGTGCCACATGTGGACATTCTTCCTGAAGGTACAGATAAATTAAATAAATACTCCCTGAGTGCTTGCCATGTGCCTGATTCTGTGTCCTATGTGGGTGAGACAGATGATGATGAAGGGCTGATGACCGCCCCAGGAGCCAGAGTGGGTCCTTTTTCATCATCATCATCACCATCATCACCACCACCACCGCCATCACTGCCAGTCTGTGCACACTGTCCAGTCTGGTTATCCACATGGGGACCGTTCCTTTATGGACTTTCCTGCCCAATCCAGGCTGTTCTGTGTATGCATAAATAATGCAGACTTATTTTAACTTGGTCTTAGATAAAGTGTGGGTAGAAAAATATATCTGCTGGCAACCATCTTATGCATCAAGTAACAAACCCTAAATTTAAATGGAAATTATTTTTAGGTTGTCTGGGCAGATAGCACGGAAGATGGGGACTCCAGAGATATGACATCAGGCATGTGTAGGCACATGCAGACACACAACACACACGTGGGCACACACAGGCACACGTGTGCCCTTGCTTCTTCTCTCTTCCTCCTCGTAGTGGCTCCTTCCTGGCCCCTCCTTTCTCCCCCACCCCCCACGCCCCACTAGGGCCAAAGCAGACACTTCAGCACTGACTCACAACCTACCTCACCTCGTTTCCAGCCTGAGAATCTCACCTCCCCACCTGGGCTGTGAGGTCTTCCGGGGCAAGAGTGGTGCCTGCTCTTTCTTGGACACACCACCCCTGGCAGCCTGGCCAGCCAGAGGAATGAACGCCTATGGCAGCCTGGCCAGCCAGAGGAATGAACGCCTAAGAGCTGCTGGCCTTTCCTTGAACTCTGAGGGTAGTTGGGGAACAGGGAGGTGAGAAGTTAGATGCCCAGGAACAGAAGCTCTCCAGAGAAGCCCCCACGCCACCCCCCAAGGAGCCTGCCTCTCTTGCTCCAACTGGATGCCAGGGTAACGCAGGGCTTTCCGAGGTAGAACTCTCCTGGAGGAGCTGCACCAGCTGGACAAGCTGCCTGGAGGTGGCCTGGCTGGGGATCAGCTGGGTGAGAATTCCCTTGTTTCCAAGCATCCCCACTGCACAGGCCTCCAGCACCAGTTCCTGTCCGAGCCTCTCCCCAGGGCCCTGGCTGGAGACCCAGCGCATCGGGCAGCAGCTTACCGCCTGCCAGAGCCGCAGGTCCAGCAGTTGCAGTGCCCAAGACCAACCCAGGCTCACGAGTCACTTTGGCCACAGCCCTAAGGGAGGAACGGCTTGCTCACTCTTGCCTGCAGGAGGCTCCCAAGGCAAACACCTTGCACCCTGAACCACATCCCAACCGTGGAGGCTGGTCAAGGCCAGGACACCATTGAGGAAGCCTTGACTGGGGTGAGGCATTTCAGGGCCAGCTGGCCTTGTTGCTTCTGGTTCCTTACTGTGCCCAGGTCCCTATCCGTATACCTGGTCCCATGCACATCCAAGGTGTGCCCTTCTCCCAGCCCATGGTTTCCTCAGGGCAGAGGTCTCATCCAACACATCTCCGTCGCCCGAAGCTAACCCAAAGCAGCCACGGGAGTAGTGCAGAACATATCTGTACCGGTACACAGTCCACACCAATATCCCCAGCCCAGAGCCCTGGCCTCACACAGTCTCCAGCCCCGCCACCCAACCCAGTGCCCTCACTCGGTAAGTTTTGTGAACTGTGTAGGGCCTACCAGGTGATGAATTATCTCCACACTTGCTGCCTGAAGAGGCCAGGCTAGGCCAGTCATCCTCAAGCCAAATGCCCTGGGAGGAGACGGCACTCACCTGTTGGAGGAGGACGCTGCACTGGAGGCTGGGCTACTTGGAAACTTCTCTCTTCCCGCACTGGCTCCCACCCCGACCGGTCCCACGCCCACGTCCCAGCAGACTGAAGGCCCAGTGGGGGTCTCCACGCCCTGCTGGATCTCAGCCTCCCTGGGAAGGCTCTGACCTGGACTTGGAATATCAGGCTGGGCCAGCTACAGAAGCCCAGGGGACCTTTCCACGGGCGCCCAAAGAGGGCCAAATGGGCTCCAGGCCACCCCGGAGTCAGCACTGGGGCTCGATCAGACAGCAGGCTTCTCGCTCCTGCCCTCCAGGGTGACACTCTGTCCCACCCCTGGGTTGGGGAGCGTGTCCCTCCACCCCAGCAATGCTCCTGTCCCTGCGGAGTCCAAGCACCTTTGGGGCAACCAGCACTGCTCAACTGCAAAGGGTTTTGGGGGCCCCACTGGTCCCCCATCTCCACAGCCCCTACCCCACCCCCCCCGGCCCTCCCATCCCAGGCAGCCAGTCATTAGCTTGACGGGTTTCTTCCCACACACTTTGTTTTTTTCCGTAACATTACATATAGCTGTGTGTCTGTCTCAGGATAAAAATATAGACTTTCGTAAGTCTTTTTTTAATGTGAATGAGATCATACTGTGCGTATTAGTCTGAAACTCGCTTTACTTTCGGGTGTACAATAAAGTGGTTCAATATTTGTATATTCTGAAACTTGCTTTCCATCGCACACTCTTACTGGGGTTCTTTGTGCATCAGACACACAAAACCACATGATGATTCTTCTTTGTGTTGTCCTCTCTTTGCACGTGGTGGACGTTCAACCTCTTTCCAGTTTTTCGCTGCTACCACCATTGCTGCGATGACGAAGTTCCAGAACAGATCTTCTCGGGCCCATGTCAGAGGGTCTGTCGGGCATTGTCTCCTCCTTCGACTTGGGGCAGCGGCAGGGGCTCAGCTTCCAGCCTCCCGCAGCTTACTAGTGCACTTTTCTGTCCAGAGGGCGGTCCCCTCCGGAGGAAGAGCCCTAGAACCAGCCAGGTGCTGCAGGCTCTACAGCCCCCTGCACAGCTGTGGCCCAGGCAGACCCCGCCCATCTCCTGAAACATCCTCCACCTCCCCACACACCTGAATTGCCATCTATCTGCAGGTGCATCCAGATGCCTTTTCAAGAAACCTTCTTGACCGTTCCACCCCACAGGCTCCTAAGATGGCTTGTTTGACCTTGATTGACCTGCACAGGCTGAAGGACTCATCTTCCTAAAGGGGCCGAAGTCCCTCGAAGACAGACTGCCCTAAGACAAGCCTTGCTCGTACAGGAGCTTGTTACATGCATGCTATTTTTAATAAAACCACGTTGCCCCCGTGTCACTACAAACTCAGCAAACGAAGGCAAGGGTCTTTGTAGACTGCCAGACGGGGGGATTTGCTTTGATTCATCGGAAACCCTGGGAAAGAGTTGAGAGGGTTTTGCTTGAACTGTTCAACTTGACTTGGGGCCAGTGCCTTTGGTTCTTGGTGGTTCTTGGATGCGGTCAGGCCCCTCAGCTCCGAGTGGGGCGTCTCACACTTTGAGCCTCGCCAAGCTGGCCTCTGACTTGGCTGGAGTTACCGTCTGCTGCCAGTTTCCGGGGAGGCATTTGGAGGCCCCAGGGATCTGCACTGCCTTCTGCCATCTGTGGCCACTGGGCCGGGTCTGAGACTCTGAGGAGAGACAGGTGGCCTGGCTGGCACATCATCCAGACATCTCCTGGGGCTGGTCAGCACCACCTCTAAACCAGCTGGCACGGGCTCTGGAGGGGCGCCTCTCCCAGGCGTGCATTTAGAGTGCGCACAGAGACAGCGAAGGCTCGGTCTTGCTAGGGCAGCGTCTGCAGCCACAGACACGGCCCTGGGCAGCTCTTCCCTTGATCCCAAACCCTCGCTGCTGCCCCTGCCTGGAGACTAGGAGGCAGAAGCGGATGGATTTGCCCTCTCTTGAATGTTAAATTATGTGCTTTGCATGGAATAGGCAGCCAGTAAATATTTACTGAACGACCAACAGAAAGAATATTCTCCCTTTTTCAGAAGAGGCCACCTGAAGCCACAGACCTTATGTGGGAGACAGAAGAGAGTGTGACAAGCCACACCTGCTGCATCTGTGCAATCTTCCCAGGTCCCGTTCTCTCCCTTCGGGACTCCCCAGGTTTCTCAGGGAGCTCTAACATTAGGACAAGTGATCCAATGTTTGTAACCCCCGAAACCTGTTCTATTTCAAGGGCGACCCGTGGACCAGTGGCGTCAGCAACACGTGGGAGCTTGTTAGAAATGCAGACTCTCATGCCCCACCCCAGACCTAATGAATCAGAATCTGCACTTCAATGAGACGTCAGGTGACCGTGGGCATGTTGTCATTGGACAGCTGTGGCCTTAAGCAACTAGTGATTGAACAGAGATCGGCTGCTAGAAAGTGTGGCAAATTACATTTGTCCACCTTGACGATTCAGACAAATTACCAAGTCACATATTTTCTGTCTCTCCAGCCCTTGAATACTATCTAGAACATAACAGGCATGCAGTAAATATTCAATGAATACATGTTGAATGATTTTTGTGCTATTTTCTCAATTTAGCATGCTGGACTTCTGCTTCTGGACATAAATTACAAGTTATTGGAAAGAATTTTTGTTGCCAATAGGGACCTCTAGAAGAACAACTGTTTTTTTTTAACTTTAGATTTTTTTAAAATTTTTATCTATTTTTATTTTTATAGAGAGGGGAAGGGAAGGAGAGAGGGAGAGAAACATCAATGTGTGGTTATGTCTTGCACATCCCCTACTGGGGACCTGGCCCACAACCCGGGCATATGCCCTGACTGGGAATCAAACTAGCAACCCTTTGGTTTGCAGGCTGGTGCTCAGTCCACTGAGCCACACCAGCCAGGGAAAGAACAACTATTGTTAAATGAGCAATTACTGAGTGCAGGCCAATGATGTACTATGTGGATAAGCTCTCAGTCTTTTACAGAGTGTGGTTCAAGGCCAAAGGCATCAAGCATGACCAGGTGCTTGTTAAAAAATGTATATTCCTGGGTCCTGCTCCAGACCTGCTCATCGAGAATATTTGGAGGTTTGGCTCAGAAATTTGCTTTTGTTGTTGTTGTTGTTTTAAAGATTTTGTTTATTTATTTTAGAGGGAGGGGAAGAGAGGGAGAGAAACATCAACGTGTGGTTGCCTTTCATGCGCCCCCAAATGGGGACCTGGCCCGCAACCCAGGCCTGTGCCCTGCCTGGGAATCGAACCAGCGACCCTTTGGTTCACAGGCCAGCACTCAGTCCACTGAGCCACACCAGCCAGGGCAGAAATTTGCATTTCTAACACACATCCCAGGCACACTGAAGTTTGGAAATTATTTCATCCTCAGTTTACAGAGGAAAATATACCACAGGTTTACTGACTTGCAAATTTACAGAGCTGGTAAACGGTGGAGATAGGACTCAGACTCAAAACCCAAAACTGCCCAGTACCGGATCCATGGTTTTGTGGGGGTTCTTAAAGATTTTTATTTATTTATTTTTAGAGCAAGGGGAAGGGAGGGAGAAAGAGAGGGAGAGAAACATCAGTGTGTGAGAGATGTTTCCATCAGTTGCCTCTCACCATGCCCCCAGCTAAGGACCTGGCCTGAACCCAGGCA